GCCCGGATCCCGGGCGGCCAGCCCGCCCGTGCAAAAAAAAAGCAAGGTCCCAGCAAAAAAAAAAAAAAAAAAAAAAAAAAAAAAAAAAAAAAAAAAAAAAAAAAAAAACAAAAACAAAAACAAAAAAAAAACAGTCTGCAGACTCTGCACCAATCTATCTCAGCATCTTCTGGTGCCCCCTTCGTTCAGCAGCTCATGATATGAGGACAGCAGCATGACATTTGCCAAACCCTGTTCTTTTTTTGTTTTTTGTTTTTTTTTTCGGGATTCGCCAGTAGAAGTCCAAAGGGCCAAGGACCACAAAAAAATCTGACAGCCATCTGGTTGTCATGCATGGCTTAGGGGGTACTCACACTGAGACTTTCTCCATTGAATCTGGCAGCAATTACAGCCAGATGCATCTAAAAGAGGAGTGTAATGTGAGAATGCTCTCAGAAGATTTGCGGTTCACGGTTGGATTCAACTTAAGGACCTGTGTGGCTCTTGAAAAGAGGACCTGACATGTGCCATCATGGAGACAGCTGGCGTATGTTGGCCAATCAAAATGGGCAAAGTTTTTCATGAACTGATAGGAAGGATACCAATATGTGGTGCACCATTCCATTAGTCTCCAAAACTAACAACGAAAACACAACTAGCGGCGGCTGTAGCAATCCACTGCCAAAATTTTATTAATAAAATTTCCTTTTTTCTTTTTTAATGTTGAGGTGTGCGTGATGTCCCGTACATCTCTTTTCAACCAGAGTCAAATCAGGGGCTTACCATGGGACCTCTCTTCCCTATGCCCTGCTTGGGCCCACCAGCAAAGACTCCTTTGCAGGAGGCGAGAACTCAAAGCCAGTAGAGTTAGAGAGCCGTGTACTGGGCAACTATTTCGCACAGATCGGAGGGCACTTCAGTAAGTCTGTGCAAATCACCCCTATCCCTTTTGATGATATCAGAAGTCCCGTGGGAGCGCGCCTGCCTGCGTGCGTGTGTCTGTGGGTGGGGCGGGGCAGGGCAGAGACGGCACACGCGTGCTCTCTAGATGTGTATAAGAGACAGGGCTTCTGATGCTGTTGCCACTTTGTGGCCTGGTTTCCTCAATGTCCTGGCACATACGATTTTCGACGTCGCTGTACGAGGGAAGACNGGGTGAGAGACGCGCGGTTCCTCTTCGTCTCTTTAAGCTCTCTGCCCTCAAAAAAGGTGGGGCGGGACGGGTGTGCACGCACACATGCGTGCGTGCGTGGGTGTGGGTGGGTGGGTGGGGCAGACAGATTGAAGTTTCTACCCCTATCCCTTTTGATGATATCAGAAGTCATTTAACGATTTTACCAGGCTCACCGAAATTGCCACACTTGCATGCATGCCCTCGCACAGTCTCCAACTCCTTGAACTGTGCCCCTGACGGAGGCGGGGATGCATCACGACATCACGATCTTGTAACTGAGGACACGGCACAAACACTAATTAGTGGACATAGTGGCAACACTAGATAATGACCTTTCCTTGGGCCACAACGGCACGCTGCCACCCTATACGTGCTGTCAAAGACCTCCGACCTTGGGCCTGCACATTTTCCTACCTGCCTCAACTGTTGCTGTATCTGACGTTATTGGCACTGGCAGAGTGTTTGGTGTTGCATCATGCATCAGGTGGCCTACGGTTGTACGGAGAGAACTTAGAAGACAGAAAGAGACGGGATGTGCAAGGCTGATTCGAGTGTTTGGTGCTGCATCATGCATCAGGTGGCCTACGGTTGTAGGTAAGAACTTAGAAGACAGAAAGAGACGGGATGTGCGAGGCTGATTCTCTTGTACTGTTGTTCCTGGCGAACGCCGAGTTGCAATCAGAACCGACTCTGCCTGGCACTACTGGGATAGAGCCTTCTTCACATGTTCTATGCCCCTCAAACTGGTCTACAAGGACACGCTACCTACCTATAACCATATATCCATTCAAGTTCCGGGGCTGCTACGTCTAGCTCGAGAAACCCCTAAAACCACAGCTACGTGGGAGAGCCTCATTTCTCCCAAAATAAAGACTACGATCGGCTGGTGACTTCTCTACGCCTGGATTTTCCCCGGATGGACTACCAGAAACTGGCACGCTACCTGAGCACAGTGCCCTTAGTAGGTCAGCACCAGACATAGTGGTGGCTTACAGTCCTTTTATCACCCTCATTTAAAGAGATAATAATGAGCTATTGAGCTATTCAATTGCTTCCGAGTATGTATACCTGGACTGCTCAAAATCTCCTGGGCTTACTGCTTCTTACTGTTCCTTACCTATTCGTCAAAGGAGAGCGGAGATCAGACCTTGCACTCTCGAGGGACAAAACTTCCCAGAAGAGAAACAAACAGCAGAGTACAGCTCTTTCGCTCCAACGGGAGGAGGAGGAAACAACCAAGAGGGAGTTTGATGTTTCATCCAAGCTTCCAGAGTCCCATCACCATTTTCAGAATGTGTCTACCTATATTCTTGTTGCGTAAGTGAGACTCAGCAAATCATCAAGTCAGTTCTTTAGCCATTTGGACTGTTGTCACTGGTCACTAACAAAGTCCATTCTCTACAACAACACTCGTATTGTCGGAGTTCCCTTTCATTGCCTAAGAACAGGTTGAATAAGATGGGATAACGAGAAGTGCCTTGTCAAACAGCTCATCCTGCACACCACAATGGATACTCTTTCATGAACTGGAGCAACCGACTCAATCCAATGATGAACAAGTACTTTGCTCATGAACTTACAGATATACATCTCAGCACTGAGGATGTATTAGGCCCTCTTCAACGCATTTGCGACTACATGCATTTTACATGCACTCCCATCCTTTCCGTTCCACGTCCATCAGCCCTCTCTCTCTCTCTCTCTCTCTCTCTCTCTCTCTCTCTCTACTATCACAGGAAATACGTCTTTCCAAGAGTCACACCCCATACAACGATCACCCTTCTGCCTATCTGTGCTCAACTGATTGCTTTCAAGTGATTTCGCACATGAGCATAGCTCCTTGCTCCGACTGATTGCTCTCAAGCACCATTGCGAGGTCATCCAGCCAGCCCAAAGTACCATTCTATACATACTCAAAAGAGTTCTATGGTATACACATACACTTCTACACTAAGAGTTCAGCCTCTACGAACCTGATATGTGACCTTTAACCAATGACGAAGATCACCGCTGTGGTTCCAGTTCGACCACTAGGCATCAGGCCTGCAGTCTACAACTAATAGATGGAATGGCGACTCACTTTGATCAACAACCACCATACTGCATATGAGTACAGCTTATTGCACCAAGCGCTTGTTCCTGAATACAATTTTCAGGTCAATCAGCTGGCACGAAGCACATTCCATACACTCTTGGATGAAGATCACCCAAAAACCTAGCTCAGTGGGTACACCCTTGAACTGCTGAAATACAGACCCGAGTTCGCACCCAGATGATGGAACTCGACGAGTAAAACCAAATATTTCTGAATTGCCTGGGGCCGGTCAGCTCAATGATGATATCTCAAGACGGCCGCCCTTTCTTTTTTTTTTCCTTTTTTTTTAACAGTATTCAACCACTTGAAGTGGAACGTGCACCCTTCCACCCAACTGGGTGGATAAGATAACTGAGCTAGTAACAAATACCCATGACCTCCCAAAAGCTATGTGGGTCACTTCACCAAATTGAATTTGGATTGGATAAGCTAATAATAGACTGATAATAGCCTAATTTCATTGTAATCTGCCATTTCTTGGTCCCAGGCTTCAAGGTCGATCAGCTGGCGCAAAGTGCGCTTCAGACGCACTTGTAGTCAGCATTCAACCACTCAAAGTGGAGCGCACGTGACCTTCCACTCAGCTGGATGGATTGCTTAACTGACAGAGTGACTGAGCTATACCTGTGACCTTCCAAAGGCTTACCCGTGACCTTCCAAAGGCTTACCCGTGACCTTCCAGACGCTTACCCGTGACCTTCCAAAGGCTCAGTGGATCATTAATTAGATGAGATCCTGACAGCCTAATAAAAGGCTAAATCGTAAATATATTTATCATTCAGTGTGGCTGCAGAGGAAGAGTCTGGGGCTGCAGAGGAGAGGGGCAAAAATTGGCAGTCCATAAGTTGTTACTCAGTCAGGTCCCCGCTGAGATGTGTTCAAGCTACGCCGGCCGAGACTTACTTTTCGACCGGTGGTTACACATCTTAGTTGACCATGCCAACGAACAAACCCGGTCACCTCTTTCCCTTCAAACTTCATCTGATCTTGCAATCAAGGTCTAGAGGACACCGCTGTTGTGTTGCCTTTGCATATTCATTAGCAAAGGCACCCACTGCGATTTCTATTCCACTTCGATAAACACACACCATACATAATAAGAAAAGAGGGTGTTCGGTATAGTGGCAGGTAATTTATGGTTCTACGCTAGGGAGATATCCCGGGCGCGTCCGGGTCCCAACGTCATGCCCGGTTTGACGACCAGGTGACTGGCCGGGCATGACCCCCGGGCATGGGTCCAGGCAGCCCCAGCACAAAAAAAACAAAACAAAAAAAAAATCTGAAAAAAAGTATGTTGTGTAGAATTGCAATACAAACAACTTTTGGCTGAGGGTCACATCAGAATTCCACATGGAACTGAAGATTAAAAAAATAAAAATAAAAAAAATCACACTAAGGCAACCCCCTTAAACCCCTTCAGCCCCTTTAGAATTCATTTATACTCCCCTGATTTGGGCTACTCTCGGAGAGCGCGGAAAAAAAAAACACCGCCATTTTTTTATTTATTTTTTTAAGTTTTTTTCCCATGCCCGGGTATCCCGGGCGTCACGCCCGGGTGACTGGCCAGTCATGAAAATCTTCCTAGGTTCTACGTACAAAAGCATTTCCGGATGCATCTGACAGACTTAAAATTCATGACTAGAAAGTTCCCTCTTATACTTAGAAGTGGACTTCAATCAATTCGACATTTCAATTTGGGGACCGGACAGGGAGACATGCATCCTCTTACCTTTTGCTTTGTGATATAACAAGAGTCCCAGATTCCGCTGACCGCCTGTCAAGCCCTGATTAGCACTTTTAAGGAGCCAATGCTCTGCCTTCCGCAGATTCTTCTCCACCCCCCTGCCGTCACAGTAGCACAGTCCCAAGTTGTTCTGGGAGACCGCTAGACCTTTGGAAGCAGCTTTCTCATACCACACCATGGCCATTTTACAGTCCTTCGGAACGCCAATGCCCTGTTCATAGCACCACCCCAGGTTGTGTTCCCCCTGCGCATATCCTTGCTCAGCTGCCTTGCGGTACCATGCAGCAGCCGCCTTATCATCCTTTGGAACGCCAGAGCCATTCTCAAAGCAGAATCCCAAACAGGCCTGGGCCTCCATGTGTCCTTGACTGGCAGCCTTCTTCAGCCACTCCACTGCTTCTGCTTCATCTTTCCCGACGCCATCCCCTGCAAGATACAAGCACCCCAGCATCCACTGCGCTACCTGATCGCCCTGCAAAGCCGCTTTCCTGAACCATTCTGCATCTTTGCGGCGTTCTTCCTGTTCTGCGCCTTGTTTCTGTGTCAGGTCAGACCTGGTCGACAGGTCCTGTGCAGCATAGCCCTCGTCATCTTGGTCTGCTGACTTTCCAAGCCACTTGACTGCTTCCAAGAACATAGACTCACGCTCATGCTGGCTTCCACAGTGCCCTGCAGCGGAGACATGAACCACAGAAACCTGCCGCATGAGGTCTTATGCTCCATGTGCAGTGCAAAACCCCGTCCCCCATCCATCCAATACACAATGCAGATCCACATGCAGGCGCTCAAACGGAATGTGCATAATCATTCCATCAAAACGTCATACAAAGTTCGAGGAAGTTTCAGAAGACAATTTGTCTTGCCGGTACCGTTTACTAATAAACACCAGACAAGCAAACAAATGACACATGCCAGAACATCACCACCACTCTTTCTCTCTCTCTTCCCACAACTGGCAGGGATGGAGACAGAGCATAGCCATCATGATTGTCGCACTGTATGTCACAACTATGCAAAGTGGACTTTAAACCACCAGTACTTCCAAAAGTCGTGCCCGTATACAGGCCACGATTTTACGAAATGTATGGGCCACTACAGGGGCACCCAAATTCATCCGGCTAGAAACGTTTCTACTCTTTTTTTTTTTCTGCAGCCGATAGCTGGGCCAAGCACTGGTGGTTTAAGTGATTTAAAACATTCTCTCTTACATGAACGAGAGTGGTCATCATGGATCATATCCCACCCCGTCGGCTGCACTGTTGAAGCTCCATATCACACAAGCAGCCGCAAAGATACACAAGGTAGCTAAAAGAACGTATTGGTACTCTAATAACAACCTTTGTTTATTAAATCCTCCAGCCCAACTACTAAGCCTACCGTCTTCACCCAAATATTAACGCCCGGTCATTATAGCTGTACTTGGGGCATTTTTCAGTCCAGATGCAGCGATAATGACAGGGCATTCTATTCGGGTAAAGACGGTAGTACCACCAAATTGAGTATGCAACACTTGGATGCAGCTGCATCACACAGGCCCCATGCCAGCAGGGATACAAGGCCGATACCGGCGGGGATCGTTTCAAATTATTCTTATACATCCACCATGAACCCTATCAGGTTTGAGGGAATGGAGAGGGTAACCATTCTCCGCTGATACATCAGCTGCAGAAGGGAGGCCCTGTCCCATGCAGCATCAAAGACGTCTACGCAATTACAGTGCATGAGATGCAATACTGCAACAACTGGGCTATCAGGGAACCCGATCAAACTACTGTGGATGGCACGTCAATCGCATAATCACAAGCCTCACCAGTCTCAACATGGCGCCCAGCATAGAAATCGAACATTTTTACTGGTGGGCCAGTGGTGGCTGAGGAAACAATAGAAAGCTCAGACAGGCAAAGGCAAAAGATAGCTCATTTCTGCAGCAGCAAGGACCCAGATCCATGGGGGCTCAAAACCAGAGCTGGCACGCTTTGCACCGGGATCAGCCAATGCAGCAGATTCTACCTTGACGTCACTGCATGTTGCCGACAACTGCATTCGTGAACAGGATAATTGCGCAAGTAGATCTTTACATTTTCACTCATTTGCTCAAATGCCTGTGTCGGAATGTGTACTTGATCAGGCCACCCGTTCATATACACGGTCGGCAGCGTGACCTGCACCGGAATGCCTAGACATCCAGGTTCATTCTAGCAGAGGCACTTGTACAAAGGAGGCTACGCACAGAGACATACGTGCAGTTATCCCTTTGAGATAATCTCAAAATAATCAGATGTTTACGACACCTTCCCAGATCCAGGTCAGCCACATACCGCATAACATTCTGTAACGTTTAGACACAAAAGTGGATCTCTTACCCCCCATCCCCAAAGGCCCCTAGCTGCATGCTCTCGGACAGTGCTGGCCAACCACATGACCCCACGCAATTGACTCCGACGCAGCTCCTTACGCACCCTTGGCTTTCTCGTACAGCAGAACGCCAAGGTTCCGCTGCGCACTCCTACACCCATTCTCAGCGCCCCGACGAAACCAAGCTTCAGACCGCCCAAGATCCTTTTCGACCCCCAATCCATTGCGGAAGCACAGTCCGAGGTTTGTACAGGATTCCCCACATCCATCAGCTGCTGCTTTCTCGTACCATTCAATAGCCTGGGCATAATCTCGCTGCGTGCCAATCCCCATTTCATAGCACCAGCCCAGATTATGTTCAGCAAAAGGGAAGCCTTGCTCAGCCGCCTTTCTGTACCATGAAACGGCCTGGGCTTCGTCCTTCTCAACCCCAGAGCCTCTTCCATAGCAGTACCCCAAATGGGTTTGCGCCAGCACATTGCCTCCTGCTGCCGACTGCTGAAACCACTTGACTGCATCGCTCAGGTCCCTTGACATTCCTATCTCATGGAATCTCAAGTAGCCAAGGACAAACTGTGACGTGTGGTTTCCTTGCAGAGCGGACTTCCTATACCAGAACGCAGCCTTTTTTTCGTCCTTCGCAACTCCCTCTCCATTAAGGTAGCAATCACCGAGAGTATGCTGTGCCACAGCGTCACCTTTGTCTGCTGCTTTGCGGATCCATTTGATGCCCGCCTTTGCTACAGATGGATTGTCATCAGCTGTTCACGAAACACACAAACACCAAGGGAGGGTTTATCAGAGATCTCCTCTCGTTCAATGCTCTTTTCGCCTTTTTTCTGGGATAACATAATAATAATACAATGTAATATGCTTGCTTAGATGAAGGTTTATTCTTCTTTACATCCAAAAAAAAACTCACGGAACTACAGCGAGATTCGTCTGCCGTCCAGGTTTGTGGCAAATTCCCCCAAATCTGCAATTCACACATTCCGTCATCCTGTTCTTCACACTCGTCTTATTTGTGCCAAAATCATCAGGAAGACCCACACACTTGCATCATACACTGTGGGCTATGGTGGTATCCTTCGCTTCATAAACCGATGATGGGAGCAATGTGACTGCACAGTCAAATCACGTCAGTGCTGTCGTATGAACTGATAAGATGAAGGCCATAGTGACGAGTGAATAAAAGGTCCAGCACACAATGGTGGCAGCAAAAGTCTTGCAGCGTAGAGACCATGTGCTGCAGAGAGCAGCCGCCAAATGGGCGCAGTACTCTCCTAAAAGCCCACTGCGAAGAGAATGTAATCCAGTTACAATGCAAAGAAATAAGATTTGCTAACAAAGAATGTTTCCGGTGGCTTCTTATCAAAACAAGAATTCCAAGATTCCCACAAGCTGGGAATTAATTAAGGTTGGCCCTGCTTGGGGCTAGCTGCCAAACGCTGACCCTAAACAATAGACCAAACTCCTGGATTCCAAACCGTTACATGGGCCCTGGTTGGGGCTAGCTGCTAAACGCTGACCCCAAATGATACCCTGGTGGTTTCTAATTGCAACAAGAATAACAAGATGCCCATGAATTCGGGGGATTTACGGTTGTGGTTTGCTGGCTGACCCTAAATAACAAACGTATTTCTCTGTTCGACGGGCAGCCCGCCAATTAAGGACGTCTCCTGCCTGGGTCCACCAGCGCATCCCAAAAGTACGGGATTTTTCTTTTTCCATCCGCAAAGCACTTTTCAATTGTTGGTTGTTTGGTTCGGTGAAGGGGGGGGGGGGGGGGGGAGAAGCCTCAGGAGGGTATGAATGGAGTGTAAAGGGGTCTTCCTTAGTTTGGTTATGAATGGAGTTTAAAGGGGTCTTCCTTAGTTTGGTTACTTCGATATTCTTATTTTCACTCTCGTAATCTTCGGTTCACTATGGAATTCTGAGGTGACCCTCAGCCAAAAGCTGTTTACAACTTTACATTGCGATCCTCCACAACATATGCTTCTGCCAAAATTGATCGGTTTTCCAATCTCTTGTTTTACTTTGCACTGAGGCCACCTGCGACCTGGTCGGGACCTTGCTCAGCAAGGCATTCTGAGCCGGCCAGAGGTTAGCATCAACACCTGGGAATTCCAGGTTCTTTGTGGGGCTTGAAGAGGCAGCATCGACATCGATTTCCGATGAGCAATCATGGCATTCCTATCATGATAAATGGTAATCTCAACGTTTGCTCTTCGCAGTGCGACTGAAGGCTGCAATGGCATCACTCTCATTTCCCTATGCCTTTGACGTTAAACAGGCACCAACAAAATCGGCAAAAAAAAAATTCAGAGACAATCCCCAACTACTGCATCACTTCAAGCTGTCCGCCAACATCACCCATGATAAACAATCGTGGCGAGGCTGGTGCAAGGCTCCGTAAAGGCTGTTAGGTCTGCTAGCGACTAAAGGCTGTTAGGTCTGCTAGCGACTCTAGTCCGCGGCACATAATCAGTTATGCATTTCCTCCTCCTCCTCAACATGAATCCCTGCCGGGTGGAGGACTACCCCCGGTCTCTTCACAGTCAGCCAGAAAAGTGCATATCTGCATTTGAACGGGCTAGCAGATCATCTGAACTGGGGTGAAAGTATAACAACCTTAAGATTTGATCACCTCTTTGAGAGCGAATGTGCAGCCTGCTATCCACCCTGCACAGTCCCTTATTTTGGGCCCCAATAAAGCTTATTTGGGCCCCAATAAAGCTAAGTGTCAAAAACCTGCACGGAGGCTTGAACAAACTTAATCTTGAATGCTCTTCATCAGGAAGGAGACACAACAATAACAGAATTCCAGCATGATAGAACACCCACATAAGGTCCTTTGGGACATCCATTAAAATTGGACTGATACAGAGAAGAAGAGCATGGACCAAAAAGAGACAACACACATACAGGGGTTAGGTAAGCCCATTGTTTGATTTAACCTCGACTGTTCTTAAGCAGAAAGAAAAGACAACAATAACAGAATTCCAGGACGATAGAACTCCCACACAGTCCTTCTGGACATTGGAACGATGCAGAGAAGAATAGCAAGGGGAAAAAACACTTGAAAAAAGAGACCGCCCACACATACAAGGGGTTAGTAGGCAACCCACTCTTCGGATTAGCAGAGCCGATTGCACAAAAAATATGAAATGTTACCCCTTCCCTCGTTTTCTTTTCCAGGGGTTACTCCCTCCTCTCATTATATTAATAATCCCATTTCATCTGGTGCTTCATTTGACAGCATGAAGGAGGGCGAACCCCAAACAAAGTTCCAAATCGTCTGCTTCGATCATCCCGTTAGGCATTTGATTCAAGCATAGGACAGTGATTCAAATACCTTGCCACATAATAATTTTGCTCTACGTGGACACGATAACAATCAAAGCAACTTGAGCTCATGAGCTGTTTGCTGGCAGCTGCTTGAGGATGTGACCAACTAACACCATCCTCAAAGAGTCACACGTGAGTCAACCATTTTCCAACGTATCCTTCTCATTTCATGGGTACATACAGATTTATACACACCTTTCGCTTGAGAAACAAGCAACAGACCCAACTGGGCCTGGGCTGCACAATGACCTTGCTCGGCACTCCTTTGGAACCATTCCTTGGCCTCAGCAATATTGCAGGGCACTCCCTTTGCCTCTTGGAAACAGAGGCCCAGACTGCACTGCGCATATGGAAGTCCTTTCTCAGCTGCCTTCAAAAACCACTCTGCCGCCGCCACATCGTTCATGTCTACGCCAATCCCTTCCATGAAGCACCTACCCACATTGTACTCTCCCTCCGCATACCCCTGTTTGGCCGCCCTTAGGTACCACTCGAACCCCTTGGACGCATCCTTGGCAGTGCCGATGCCACATTCGTAGCAATACCCCAGGTTTGTCTGTGCTTTGACATGGTTCTGCTCTGCTGCTCGAGCGTACCACTTTGCTGCCTCCACAGGGTCTTCTTTTACGCCTTCCCCATGAAAAAGACAGAAGCCCAGGTTGAACTGCCCCTGGACATTTCCCCGTTCTGCCGCTTCTCGATACCAGTAGCATGCGTTTTGCAAGTCCATTGGCACACCATCCCCTTTCTGATAGCAGAGACCAAGTTCATTCTGTGCATAATCATCCCCTTGCTCAGCTGCCTCGCGAAGCCAGGAAATCGCCGTGTGCAATACATGATCCCTTTCTTGCTGCCGATCGTCTGTCAGGACTGTGTTGGTACGCAAACCTGCAACACAAACGCCCATACGATAGACCCACCAAACAAACACCCATAAGATCCCAGAACTCTTTTTTTTTTTTTGCAAAATATCAGCACTCTACATCTCCTATCCAAGAACCATGCCCGCGTTCGAGTTCCTCCGTTACTCTTTAGGCAATTGTGTTAATCTATCTAATCCCGCTTGGAAACGCAAAATTGATCGGTCAAGTACCTACCGGTAGTTCCTACACTTTGATAATTAATGCCTGAGCCTGGAGGCACGGAGTGTTGACACCGATCCCAAGTGGAAGAAACCTTTGAGCTTCCAGTCATCTGGCAGTTCAGACTGTATCATCATCCCATCTTATATATTGTCACAAGAGTATCAGAGCACAAAAGCGGAAAAAAAAAAAAAAAAACAAAAAAAAAAAAACAAAGAAAGATGAATTCGTTTTTTTTATCTTCTTCCCTTACAACTCCCCCTGTTCAGAACCTTTTGCGTACAAGGCGGCACCCGTGGATGTAGGTTGAGCGGCGGCTGCCCTCCCCCCCCCCCCCCCCCCCCTCCCCCCCGGTGTCATATCGACCCACTTGCACACAGCCAAAAGGCAAAGATGCAAAGAAAGAGGAAGGGAACAGCCAAATATAACAAAACAGGGGGAAATATATGGGATGCCTGGCGTGCAGTCATTGAGGCCTTCAGGTCTTCGACTAAGAAGATTTAATTCTTTCTCAAGGAGAGAGAAGATAGATGCTTGTTCTCTATTGCACCACTTCTCTAGTAGTAACTCCACTAATATTCAGCTATTTCGTTGTCAATTCCCTTCACTTCAGAAGAAACCTCTGCTTCTCTTGACTGTTACACTGATTAGAGCTTCACCCCACAGTTCATCACACAGATCTATATCTCTGTTCCACAGAATCCTGGGGGGGTGCGACCATAATCCAACATCATCCAGAGCTAAGACATTCCGACAACTTCAATTTGACAACCGAGTTCAACCGCAACAGCGAATAGAACAGCAGACGGAGCAGATCCCATTCGGCACATGGTGATATCAGAGGAGGGCCACATCCAATCAGCTACCGTCTTCACACGAGTAGAACGCCCGGTCATTATAGCCGTATTTGGTGCAATTTTCAGTCCAGATACGGCTATAATGACCGGGCGTTCTATTCGGGTGAAGACAGTAGTAGTAGAGGTTCTGGGCCAAACAGTTAAATCCTTCCTGACTTATAAAAGCAAGCAACTCTGCATAGCCACAGCCGCTGCTTACTGGATTGAACTTCGCAAGTTGCAGGTAGGTAGAATGCGACAGCATGCATGAGGGCATTGGGGACTGAGGAAGCAATCTGTAAATCATATCCGTGATGCGTAAGGGCTTTGGGAGTGAGGAAGAAAACATAAAATCATACATACTGTAACCATCAAGGTTGAATTGGAAATTCTTAGTCAAAACAAAGGTGAAAGGTGAAAAAGAAACAGGTTTCTCTATTCTGTGCTAGTTTTCAAGGCTACGAAAGCAGGCGCTAAGTCTTGCCCGCAGCGGTGTACGACGTCTTGCCTCCCCCCCCTCCCCCCCCCTCCCCCAAGAATTGAGACTTTCAGCGGTGTGCAATGTCACAGTGTGGCATACCAAGAAAAAGTCAGGAAAAAAGAGAAAAAAAAATCGCTTTCACACAGAAAACCCGAAACTTTTCTACTGCCCAGCCATCCGATAAAATGGCAAATGCTTTACATTTCCGTTCTAGAAGGGATACCGTTTGGCCAAAAATGATTCCGAGCGGAATTTTGTCTGGTTTCGCACTAAGACGTTCACCCCGATCCCTTCCCTTCCCGCGAGTTTTGAATTTTGCTGCATTTATTTTGACCCGAGAGTGACGTAAACTAGTAGAACAATACCACCACACATGATACGGCGTCTGTTCTGTGCGTGTCGGAACCATTCGTTCAATCCACGTACTGATGCTGATGGGCCTGGCTGACTTGGTACACCCATGACCTGTTGAAATACAGATCTGAGATTGAATCCAGATGCAGCCAGATGTCACCGGGCAGAATACAATAATTCTGAATTGCCTGGGGCCGGTCAGTACAATGATCATTTACAAGGCCATCGCACTTTTTTTTTTTTTTGAGGGGAGACCATTTCTCGGTATATGCGTGTCATCCTTGCGCAGGGGTCATGCTACTCTTCTCTACATCGTTCCAATTTTACCGGATGCCCCAACGGACAGGCCCTCGCCCTTTGTAAGAAGAAACGAAAATGAAAAAAAAAAAAAAAAAAGCACTAATGACGCAGGCTCCATTATGGAACGAGTGGCTCTGACTCTGTGATGATGAGGTCTCATGCACAACAATAAAAAATAAAAATAATAAAATAAAAAATAAAACAGGTAGATCAAACCATAAGCAAATCAAGCAGTCAAGTAAATCAAACAGACAAGTGAATGCAACAGTCGACTTGCGCCCGCTAACGCTAACGCGCCCTAGCCAGCTACCGAGCTGTTCGAGAACCTCAGACACTGCGCAACACATCTTACTAGTGTTTCACTCATGAGACGGAACACAAAACGGCAAGCCACTCACTTCACTTTGCGTCCACTTTCAGTTCCAGTTTGCTGGATAGATAGAAGCTCAGGCTTTCTTTTACATATGGGTCTTGTGATCAGTCAAAGTAAACAACACACACAAGTAAATCAAACAACAAGTAAAACAAACAACAATAGCCACTGATCAAACAGCCAACAGAGTCAAGTTACATAAATCAGTCAAAGGGATTAAATATTCATGTAGATCAGTTCACGCAAAATCAACCAGTTACCAACGGGCCTAGCTCAGTTGGTACAACGCCCCCCCCTGAAATGTTGAAATACAGACTCAAGTCCGAATCCCGATCCCTTCAGATGACAAACGAGAATAAGATCTCATTCTGAATTGCCTGGAGCCGGTCAGTTCAATCAATGATGATATCGAAAAAGACTGTCGCCCTTTCAAAAAAAACTCACACCGTTAAAAAAAAAAAAAAAAAAAAAAAAAAAAAGCGTCACACCGTTAAATTGAGATCGAACAGTTGAGAAAATTAACGTTAGCCGCTATTTATTATTATTACACGGGCGCAACAGATCCCGACTCCAGGCCCGTCCCCGCTCCGAGCCTCCCACCATCTCTATTTCTCTCCGCCGGATGGCATCATGAGCATGAGATTATCCCTGCCGCAGGTAGGTGACGTCTCTATGTTCCTTCCTTCCTTCCTTCCTTCCTTCCTTTCTATTTATGGTGTTTATTTGGGGGGGGGGGGGGGGAAGTGGACTAAAATTTGATCCCAGACCTCCCCGCCCTTACCTCACGTGACTGCCGAAGCGAATTTACGTGTTATATAATACGCGAAATAAGGCAAAAGTTATCTTTTAGGGGAAAGGGAAAGGTTCAAGTCCCGCTATACCTCAGTACTCTTCCCTTCATTTTTTTTAAGTCTTTTTTCGTTTCCTGTTCCTCTCTTTCTCTTACTCCACGCTCATCGCGGGGAGTGCAGGGATAAAGAAAGAACAGAAATATGGTGCAGAGGCATATCTCCCAAGATATGCACACGATCTGTGCGGTGATACTTCTTCTTAGACACGATCTGTATAGCAACTGTTCTGATTCATTAGACAGCAACCTCCACCCCCCTGAGGCTAGCAGCCAGCAGCCTCCGTCGCAGGTTACCTTCTGTTCTCGCACACATTCCTCCACCTTTTTTTTTTCTTTTTTTTTTTGAAACAACGGCGGCGGAAGCGGCAGGTTTTGAGTTCGTAAAGGCAAAAAAAAAAAAAAAAACGCGCGGGCAAAGAAAACAGCCGGCCACTTCGAAACGGCGAAATTATTTTTCGGTTGAAAAGAATATGTGGAGCGATATGCAGAAAATATCATTAGCATGCCCGCTTGCGGAGAATAGAGACTAACTTCATGATCTTCTTAACAGAATCAAAACGCATAAAACTGAGATTTCATAGCACATTGTTTTTTTTTGTTTTTTTGTTTTTTTTTTGTTTTTTTGTTTTTTTTATATACAAAATAGCACATTGTCAACTGTCCATGTGAGATTTGGATGAACCTTTATTGCCGCAAAATATATTGTCACATGATATCAGAGCGCCAAAGCGAAAAACAGAAACAAGAAAAACTTTTCATTTTTAATCTTCTTCCCTTACAACTCCCCTGTTCAGAACCTCCTCTTGCGTACAAGGTCGCCTGGGGTGGAATTACTGTAGCGTTGAAAAACAAAGCCCACCCACCAAGGGGGGGGGGAAATGTCAAGCAGAACAGTTTTGTAGGCTTGAACAGCGGACTCATAATTCGCATGTCGGGGGTCCGGATCCCGCTTCAGCCAGTAGTCTATCTTCTATGCTTACGATTTCAGCCAGTCGTCTATCTTCTATGCTTACGATTACTGATCACGTCCGTTCCAGTATCGCTAATTTTAGCGACTCGGCGTGGAAAATAGAAGATAGCCGCATGGTAGGCGGCACACCGGTTGACAAGGAACAACTTGAAGTGACCTGAAGAGGCATGAACTAACAGCAAACTTATCTATTCTACTGTAGGCATGGAATGGAAGACGAAAACAGGAATAATAACAGAGCAGCAGCAGGATAGCTGTGCTATTCTACTAAAACCATGGATTTTGGCATCGAATAGCCCGGAAAAGCAGCAGCAGCAGCAGCAGGATAGATTGCTATAGAATAGACACGGAGTAGACAACGAAAACAGGAGGAATCAAACAGCAGAAGAAGGATAACTGTGCTATTCTAGGATATGCTACCATGGATTGACGTCGAGTAGCCGGAAAAGCAGCAGCACGATAGAGGTGCTATTCTACTTAACAACCCACGGATTGACATCGAATAGCCGGAAAATCAGCAGCAGTATAGCTGTGCTATTCTAGATGTGTATGGATTGACATCGAATAGCCGGAAAAGCAGCAGCAGGATAGATGTCTATTCTAATTAACCCATGGATTGACATCGAATAGCCGGAAAAGCAGCAGCAGGACAGCTGGGCTATTCTACTAAAACCATGGATTGACATCGAATAGCCGGAAAAGCAGCAGCACGATAGAGGTGCTATAATTCTACTTAACAACCCATGGATTGACATCGAATAGCCGGCAAA